CTAATGTTGACAAAAGGAAAAGGCAGGCACCGAAAGAAGAAATCAGAGTCAAAAAGAAGGTGAGCAGGCCCCACCACCGGCCACACCACTGATAAATTATTAGTGCATAGTGTTTTCCCAAACACTATAAATAGATCCACAAATCTTTAGAAAAAAATCATCCCAGAAACAACTCCTCTTATAGAAGAGTAAAAGAGAGAAAAAAGGCATAGAGAAAAGACCTTAGTGAGAGAAAACTGTGAGCAATTTTCAGAGTGAAATTTGGGATACAAGTTGTGCGTAAAAAAACTCTTGTAAATTTTCTTCTCTTAGTGAAAGATCTGCAGCAGCCCGTGGACGTAGGTAATTTTGTACTGAACCACGTTAAATTTGCGTGTCCTTTTATTACGCCTTTATTTCGCTTTCTCATAAATATAGTTATAGGAGAATTTGTGTAATTTCCCAACAACTGTTATCAGAGCTCTGATTGTGATTTCTGTCAATTTTCTACAATGTCACTATTCACATGAATAGTAAATTTGGTGAATAGTGAAACTTTGCCGATGATATCGATTTTTCGGCAGAAGTGTCTTAATACACGATGGTTTGCAGAAACAGTCAGAAACGATCTAGAGGGTGCCAGATTCGACTGGGAGCGATGGCTGTAGACGAAATGAATGTGAAAATTGAGAAGTTCGATGGTGCGGACTTCAGCTTTTGGAAGATGCAGGTCGAAGATTACCAGAAGAAGCTGTATCAACCTCTCTCAGGAAATAAGTCAGATGACATGGAGGATGAAGAGTGGGCTCTTCTCGACAGACAAGCCCTTGGAGTTATTCGATTGACGTTATCCCGTAACGTTGCTTTCAACATAGCAAAAGAAAAGATCACGATGGGTCTTATGACGGCTCTCTGCAGCATGTATGAGAAGCCTTCCGTCTCAAACAAAGTTCACTTGATGATGCGGTTGTTCAATTTACGGATGACAGAAGGCGTATCGGTAGCTCAACATCTTAATGAACTCAATACAGTCACATCCCAGTTAAGTTCAGTTGGAATTGAGTTTGATGAAGAAGTACGAGCATTGATACTTTTGTCTTCTCTACTAGAAAGTTAGAATGCTACTGTCACAACTACGAGTAGTTCGTCGGGAAGCAATAAGTTAAAATTTGATGATGTTTGTGATCTGGTTCTTAGTGAAGAAATTCGACGGAGAGAATCGGGTGAAGCATCAACCTCTTCAGCTTTACACACGGAGTCTAGGGGGGAACTTCAGAAAGAAGTTCAAATCGTGACAGATCAAAATCTAGGAGCAAATCTAGATCGGGAAAGAAAGATTTTAACGGCTATAATTGTGGCAAGAAAGGTCTTTCAAGAGGGAGTATCGGACACCGAAGAAAAATACCAGCACACAAGAGTCTGCCAACGTGACCGAGGAAGAAAGTGATGCTATGATTATAAGCGTCAACAGTCCGATTGATCATGGATTCTTGATTCAGGGGCATCCTTCTATGCCACCCCATGTCGAGAAATCATGAAGAACTACGTCAGCGGTGATTTCAGAAATGTACATTTAGCAGATGAAACATTGAAGATCGTTGATAAGGGAGACATCCGATTAAAATTGCCAAATCAAATCACATGAAAGCTGCAAGGAGTGAGATATATTCCTGACCTTAAAAGGAATTTGATCTCTGTGGGACAGCTTAATGGAGAGGGTTACTGTACAACATTCTCAGGTCATGAACATCTAACTTAAAGAATATTATTGTAGTAACAGATGCAGATGAAAACAGTGTTTTCAATACGCGAGGCACAATACGGAGCACAAAGTAAGTTTACGCGCACATGCGTAAGGCGCAATGCGAGGCGCGCGCCCGAGCGAAGCGAGGCGCGCTCCAGACCACAAAAATTCATATATTTATTATTATATATGCAATCATGCATTATGCAACAAAATTCATATATTTATTATTTATAAATAATATAGTATATAGATTTAGTGAATTAAAGTATTAAACTTGTACGTTAATTTTCATTCAAGCTTATAAATTATTCAAACTTTCATACTAGTATATTGCATCACTAACAACTATATTGCTAAATTTTATTTTCCTCTTTACAGGTTACAAATGACGAATCAAGCTTCAAGTTTCAACTTTCAAGTCAACTAGTACACCTAGCTCAAATAACAAGAATCAATACTCGCAGTCTCACACAGGAAATCAAATAGTAGCACATTTTCAACAATTATGATTGATACGTATTAATAATAAGAAGCAAGCAATTAGTTCATAATATCATGACTCTACATATTGATATTAAGCCAAAGAAAAAAACAGTTAACAGTCAAGAGCGATAATAATAAAATAAATATATTAAGAACTAACAGTTAGGAAGAGTAAGTTAACATTAAATCTCTCTTTGTAAGTTAGTTAACAATCAAATCAAATTAAGTTTAGAAGAGTGAACTTAATTAAGAACTGAAACAGTGAAGCTTTAAAGAGTTAAGATACTATTATTACTATAAGTCTATAACTAATTCATCAAGTTTCTTTCTCTCTAAACAATTAACAGTCAATAAGATACAACCCAAATACACTATCATTGAGTTAACTTATAGAACTCTGAGTAGATAAAACAATCAAGTTTCAGTGAGCATATTCCAGTACAAAAAAAAAGAAATGAAATCTAAAAAACCTAACAATTAACAGTAGCTACAGTAACAAAATAATACTTAATTTTCCTGTTCAAATACCTATAGTACAACAAAAAAAAAAAGAACTGCTCGCTGAGGAGAAGAAGCGATGAAAACGACATCCAAAAAAAGAAGGAGAAGCGATGAAAACAAAACTGGAAAAGAAAGCGATGAAAAAAAAAAAGAAAAAAAAAACTAGAAAACAACAATGAAAAAAAAGGAGAAGAAGCGATGAAAAGAAAACTGGAAAACAACATCAAAAAAAAAAGAAAGGAGAAGAAGCCATGAAAAGAAAACTACAAAACAACATAAAAAAAAGAAAGGAGAAGAATTTGTTCGCTGCTAGCTGCTGTCGATCGCCGCTCGCCGTCGTCGATTGAGCTCACCGTCGCCCGTTGCCATCGCCTGTCGTCGTCGCTTGCTGCTGCCACCGAATGGAGACCGCAAGAATGGGTATCGGGAGAAAGAGGGAGAATGAGCGACAGAATCCTAGCCCAACTTCTTATTTCCTTTTCGGGTTTAAGTTGGAATCGGGTTGGTACCCAATAACCCAGCTTCCTCCTTTGCTTTCAGGTCCTGATACTGAAGCGCACGCCTTGCGCTTGCGTCAAGCGTTGCGGGGCGCTCCCCAGGCGTGCGCCCGACGCAAGCGTGCACCCTGCACCGGCTGCGGGGCGTTGATCCACTACGTCGAAGCGCTTCGCTCTCGAGGCGCGCGCCTCACTGTGCCCTTAAAAACACTGGATGAAAAATCAAACTTATAGCACCAAAGGCTTGGTCATATGAGCGAGAAAAGGATGAAGACACTTCTGTCGAAAGGAAAGCTGCTGGATTTGAAGAATGTAGATGTCGGCCTATGCAAGATTTGCATCTTTGGTAAACAGAAAAAAGTCAGTTTTACAAAGATTAGCAAGACACCCAAGATTTAGTTCATACCGACGTATGGGGACCATCTTCAGTTCCATCTCTTGCAGGCTCATTGTACTATGTCATATTCATTGATGATTCTACAAGAAAGGTGTGGGTCTATTTTCTGAAGAAGAAATCAGAAGTCTATGATACCTTCAGAAAATAAAAGACCATGGTGAAAAATAAAACTGATTTGAAGATAAAACGATTAAGGTCAGACAATGGAGGAGAGTACAAAGACAGTAGATTCAAAAAATTTTGGGCAAACTGCGGGATTAAGATGTAGAAAACAGTTCCCATGACACCGCAGCAGAATGACATAGCGGAGCACAAGAACAAAACTTTGAATGAACGTGCCAGAAGTATGAGGATACATGTCGGCTTACCCAAGTTCTTATAGGCTGAAGTTATCAATATCGCAGCCTACCTAATCAACCGCGGGCCCTCAGTTCCCTTGGATGGTGGAATACCGGAAGAAGCTTGGAGCATAAACGAGGTAAATCTTTCGTATTTAAGAGTTTTTGGTTGTATCTCTTATGTACACAGATTCTGCTAAAAAAAACTTGATGTCAAATCTAACAAATGTATTTTTGTTGGTTATGGTGATGATGAGTTTGGTTACCGGTTTTGGGATTATGAAAATCAAAAAATCATTAGAAACAGAGATGTCATATTCAATGAGAATGTGATGTACAAAGACAGATCAACTGCAGAATCAAGTAGCTCTGGTATAAAAACTGAAACAAAGAAATTTGCTAAATTTAAGGAGATTTCTGAAAATAATGTTCAGACCAGTCCTGAAGTAGTTAAAGAAGAACCAAGCACGCCAGAAATGAGACGCTTCTCTAGAATTCCTAAGCCAATCCAGCGTTATTCGCCTTCTTTGCACTACTTGTTGCTGACTGACAGTGATGAACCGGAGTGTTATGATGAAGCAATGCAGGTGGAGGATTCAGTCAAGTGGGAGTCTACTATACAAGATAAGATAGACTCGCTTATGTCAAATCAAACGTGAAACTTAACTGAATTACCACCAGATAAGAAAGCTCTTCATAACAAGTGAATTTACAGAATTAAAGAAGAGCATGATGGGAACAAGCGTTACAAGGCAAGATTGGTTGTCAAAGATTTTCAGCAAAAAGAAGGTATTGACTACAATATAATTTTCTCTCCAGTCGTGAAACTGACTACAATAAAACTGGTATTGAAAATTATAGTTGCTGAGAATTTACATCCTGAGCAGTTAGATATAAAAATAGCTTTCCTTCATGGTGATTTGGAGGAGAAGATCTACATGAAGCAATCAGAAGGCTTCATAAAGGCAGGCAAGAAAAATCTAGTATGTCGTTTGAAGAAGAGCTTGTATGGATTAAAACAAGCTCCCAGATAATGGTACAAGAAGTTTGATAGCTTTATGGGCAGTAACGATTTTACTAGATGTCAAAACTGTTGTTGCCAAGCAGATCATTGTTGCTATCTCAAGAGGTTTGACAATAGTTTCATTATTTTATTATTATACGTTCATGACATGCTCGTTGCAGGTTCTGATCTACAAAATATTATAAATTTAACGCAAAAATTGTCAAAACAGTTCACAATGAAAGATCTTGACGCTGTAAAGCAGATTCTTAGAATGAGAATCAAGAGAGACACGAAGTCTGAGACTTTGATGTTATCACAGGCTGAGTACATCAACAAAGTACTCTCCATGTTTAATATGCAAGACTTCCCAGTATACCTTACCAGTGAGTACACCTTTAGGTGTTCATTTCAGACTTTCCAAAGAACAGTCACCTAAGACAGAGGAAGAGCATGCACACAAGGCGAAGGTCCCGTACGCCTAAGCAATTGGATGTCTGATGTATGTCATGATTTGTACAAGATCAGATATTGCTCAAGCAGTGGGAACTGTTAGTAGGTACATGAATAATCCGGGTAAGGTACACTGGGAAGCAGTCAAATAGATCCTCAGATATCTACGAGGCACCACAGGTAAAGCATTTTATTTTAAAGGTGGAGATACAATACTAACAGGTTATGTAGATGCTGATTTAGCAAGAAATATTAATATCAGAAAGAGCATTACAGGGTATGTCTATACTCTAGGAGGCACTACAGTGAGTTGGGTTTCTTAACTGCAGAAGATAGTTGCTCTCTTCACAACTGAAGCAGAATATATCGTTGATACAGAAGCCAGCAAGGAAATGGTTTGGCTTCAAAGTTTCTTGGATGAATTAGGCAAGAAATAAGAAGACAATGTCTTATATTACGATAGTCAAAGTGCTATTTATCTAGCGAAAAATCCGTCTTTTCATTCCAGAAAGAAGCACATACATATGCGGTATCATTTTATCCGGTCACTTCTAAAAGATGAAATCTTAAAACTTGAAAAGATCAGTGAAGCTCAAAATCCGACAGACATGCTGACAAAGACGGTGACTACTGACAAACTGAACCTGTGTTCAGCTTCAGTTGGCCTGCAATAGTATCAAGATCGAGGAAGAGTTGTTGCATAGATCGAAATGTGAAGACAGATTAAAATCAGTCTTCAAGTGGGAGAATGTCAAGATTGGGTGCATCGAAAGCAAATGGGGCAGCTAATATTGACAAAAGGAAAAGGGCAGGCACCGAAAGAAAAAATCATAATCAAAAAGGTGTGCGGGCCTCACCATGGGCCCCACCGGCCTCATCACTAATAAATTATTAGTGCATAGTATTTTTCCAAACACTATAAATAGGCCCACAAATCTTCAGAAAAAATCATCTCAGAAACAACTCTTATAGAAGAGTAAAAGAAAGAAAAGAAAGGCATAGAGAAAAGACTTTAGTGAGAGAAAATTATGAGCACTTTTTAGAGTGAAATTTAGGATACAAGTTATGTAAAAAACTCTTATAAATTTTCTTCTCTTAGTGAAAGATCTGCAACAGCCCGTGGATATAGGTAATTTTGTGCCGAACCACGTTAAATTTACTTGTCTTTTTATTGCGCACTTATTTTGCTTTCCCATAAATCTAGTTATAGAGAAATTTGTGTAATTTTCCAACATAACCTGCCATTTTCACTTTTTTAGGTTGCAAGAGTTGATTCATCCTTCGATGTACTAAAATCGGTTTTAACTCACCGCCTCCTTTCAGGCTCTTAGCATAAAAACAACTGATGCGGAGAGAAACTCTCTTGACTAAATGTAGCATCTTAACAGGCATTATTAATTTTTGAGTAAAGAACAGAGGGATCAACTCCATCTCCATGATTTCAATAATTCATGTCCATGATTGCTGAAAGGATCAAGCCTGCTTACTTCCCTGAATGGAATTTAAGAATCTCAATGGGCATTAATTGCTACTTCTGCTATTTCATATAGAGCATCTCTCGAGAATAGCATTTAGCATAAGTCATATTCTTTTAGCAGAGCTTATGGATTTATTTAACAGTTTAAGCTTGTCTTTAGAGAGTGAGTTCATTCTTCTCTGATACAGATTGAGGGTCCCCTTCCAGCTGGTAAGTGCGTCTCAACTTGGGTCTAGACCTGAGTGACTTCCCAATCTTTCCTCTTATCTCCAATTATTCCATTACCCTCAAATTACGATCTTAACAAAATATACCATTTTTTTTTCTCTTTCAAACTTAATTTCCAAAAATCATCCTGCATCAGTGACCAGCATAATTAACCCTCTATGGACACAAAGACTGATTTCCATTTGGAAAAATGTCTCATAATATGTGCATAGAATGCACATGTCCGCTCTGCAGTCATCAAAGTAACTCAACCTTTAGCAGTCATCAAAGTAACTCAATCTTTAGCGGTCAACCTTTAGCGGATTTCGCATGCAATCGCCCACTATTTACCGTTATGGCACACTATTGGCCACTTTTGCAAACAAAAAACGCATATTCCGTAATATTTCACCGCTATTGGGCGATAGCGTAGCGGGAAAGGACCGCAAACGCTATTAGCGTCGCTATTGTGAGGCTATTTACCGCTATTTATAACAGTGGGTATCATTTTATTCGGTCACTTCTAAAAGATAAAATTTTAAAACTTAAAAAGATCAATGGAGCTCAAAATTCGACTGACATGTTGACAAAGATGGTGACTACTGACAAACTGAAGTTGTGTTCAGCTTTAGTTGACCTGTAATAGTATCAAGACCAGGGAAGAGCTGCTACATAGATCGAGAAGTGAAGACAGGTTAAAATTAGTCTTCAAGTGGGAGATTGTCAAGATTGGCTGCACCGAAAGCAAAGGGGGGGGGGGAATTAGTCTTCAAGTGGGAGATTGTCAAGATTGGCTGCACCGAAAGCAAAGGGGGGGGGGCAACTAATGTTGACAAAAGGAAAATGGCAGGCACCGAAAGAAGAAATCAGAGTAAAAAAGAAGGTGAGCAGGCCCCACCACGGGCCCCATCATGGGCCCCACCACTAATAAATTATTAGTGCATAGTGTTTTCCCAAACACTATAAATAGACCCACAAATCTTCAGAAAAAAATCATCCCAGAAATAACTCCTCTTATAGAAGAGCAAAAGAGAGAAAAGAAAGGCATAGAGAAAAAGCCTTAGTGAGAAAAAATTATGAGCAATTTTCAAAGTAAAATTTGGGATACAAGTTGTGTGTAAATCAACTATTATAAATTTTCTCCTCTTAGTGAAAGATCTGCAGCAACCCGTGGACGTAAGCAATTTTGTGCCGAACCACGTTAAATTTATGTGTCCTTTTATTGCGCACTTATTTTGCTTTCCCATAAATCTAGTTATAGGGGAATTTGTGTAATTTCCCAACATAATCTGCCATTTTCACTTTTTTAGGTTGCAAGAGTTGATTCATCCTTTGATGTACTAAAACCGGTTTTAACTCACCGCCTACTTTCAGGCTCTGAGCATAAAAACAAAGAGAAACTCTCTTGACTAAATGTAGCATCTTAACAGGCATTATTAATTTTTGAGTAAAGAACAGAGGGATCAACTCCATCTCCATGATTTCAATAATTCATGTCCATGATTGCTCAAAGGATCAAGCCTGCTTACTTCCCTGAATGGAATTTAAGAATCTCAATGGGCATTAACTGCTACTTCTGCTATTTCATATAGAGCATCTCTCGAGAATAGCATTTAGCATAAGTCATATTCTTTTAGCAGAGCTTATGGATTTATTTAACAGTTTAAGCTTGTCTTTAGAGAGTGAGTTCATTCTTCTCTGATACAGATTGAGGGTCCCCTTCTAGCTGGTAAGTGCGTCTCAACTTGGGTCTAGACCTGAGTGACTTCCTAATCTTTCCTCTTATCTCCAATTATTCCATTACCCTCAAATTATGATCTTAACAAAATATACCATTTTCTTTCTCTTTCAAACTTAATTTCCAAAAATCATCCTGCATCAGTGACCAGCATAATTGACCCTCTATGGACACAAAGACTGATTTCCATTTGGAAAAATTTCTCATGATATGTGCATAGAATGCACATGTCCGCTCTGCAGTCATCAAAGTAACTCAACCTTTAGCGGTCATCCTTCGTAATGGGAAAGTCATATCTCTCTTAGAAGAAACATGGAGAAAACAAAGACCACACTGAACTAACAGCAGTACATTAGCATACGAGGCATGAATGTGTTTACTACAAATGTAAATCTATCATGTATTCAGATATTTCCGGTGTAATAAACATCAGTAACATGGAAAGTTATCAACAAAATCCAAATGGACAGAGCCAAGGCAAAATCATTTCGCGGGATTTCAAAAAAAAATTCACCTGAGCAGGAAAGACCTGACCACCAGTAACGAACTTGATTGCAGAGTACACATACAAAAACCCAGCTGGATATACCAATGGCCCAGTATCCCCTTTCAGCTCACTGTAATCCCTCTCTCCTCCAAGAAACCCGTCAACCTAACAAAAACCCAAATCAATTGTAAACAAAATACGAAACCCACCACCAAAATCAAATCTTTACAATCACAAATAGGTCACCTGCGAGATGTAAGCATCCCAATCGATCTTGGTATCTAACATCAGTTCAAAACAATTAGAAAATTAATCAAATGAACTAATGCAACGCGCCAAATCAAGTTTTTGATACTGAATCTTACATGGGACGAATGCGACGATGAGCGAGACTAGGATTGCGTCGAGAATGATTAGGGCTGAGGCGAAGGCCACTGCTTTTGAGATCTTGTATCCACTGAGAGCTCTCCTTTTCTTCTCGATTGATCTCATTCTCGCCACTATTTTGCTTGTAAGGTTTTTAGGGTTTTTCTTTCACCAGAATTTTTTTTGGAAAAGTCTGGCTTTTTCCTCGTAATCTTACTCGCTCTGTGGACGTCGAGGTGGAAGACGGAAAGATTTGGATCCGTTAGCAGTTTTACCCGACCCGAAGTTAGAGAGAAATGCTAATTAGTACGTAAATGCCCCTAATTTGCACTTATATACCTTTATTTTATTTATTATGTTGCAGCACTTATATATTTTAAAGTTTTTAAAATCTGTACTTTAATACCTTATATTTTATGCAAACCTGAGAATTTTTTCCTAATTTTTTTTCCCATGAGACACTCACAAGGTAATTTTATAATTTTTTCAGCTCTTATTAAAATTTATTAAATTTACTATTAAACCCACTACATTTCTATTCTAAAATATAATTGTGGTAGGTTAGAGCAATGGTGCATTTAACAGTAAATTCAACAAGCAAGAAGGACTAAAATGTCCTGAACCTAGCTTATTAGTGTCAAAATGAGAAAATTCAAGAGAAAATTACCACTTCTCCGTAGGAGAAGGCATTAAAAGTGCAAGTTTGAGAAGCTCTAATCGTAGAGGACAAATTTTCAAAACCAACCTATTTACAAATTTAATCGCAGAAAACAACCTATTTCAGATTTAATTGCAAAAACCGACCTGGTTTCAGCCCTGGAGCTGAAACCAGGTCGGTTTTTTAAAAATTTTTATCCGAAACTTCACGGGAGTTGAACTCCCGTGAAGTTTCGTAGTTTAAATTTTTTTTTTTTTTTGTACTGGGAAACTTCACGGGAGTTCAACTCCCGTGAAGTTTCGAAAGTTTTTTCACAAAAACCGACCTGGTTTCAGCGCCAAGGCTGAAACCAGGTCGGTTTTTGCAATTAAATCTGAAGTGGGTTGTTTTCTGCGATTAAATTTGTAAATAGGTTGGTTTTGAAAATTTGTCCTATATAAGTTCGGCCAAAAGCAAGTAATGGTATTTCAGTGCAAACCAGGGGGGAAGTATGGGGGCTAAAAAGGCATATAATGGATTTTTGGGACTGATGAACGGAAATGTGGGTCTTTGACGGACTGAACCCGTTCATCCTGATCCAAACCCGTTAACCCATTTCTATCGCGACTGTAACCCAACCCCAGCCCATCTCCATCGTTCTCTTTGTCGATCGCCGATCCCCGGGCTCTCTCTCAAACCTTCCATCTTTAACCCTTGCGCCGCCCCGATCGCCGCCTGACTTCGTTGTTGATGCCTTCAGTTCCATCTCCTCCGGCGATTCCACGTCATTATTCTATCCGGCGACGTCAAGAGGTAATTTTTATTCTTCATTTTCGCCCTAATTTCTGCCCGTATTTTTTGTTTTTATGATATAAGATATTTTCTCCTGATTACCATCTTCTCTTCTTTGCCACACACTGGTATATAATTTTTCTAAAATTTTACGCATTTTTACGATTTTACTCATTTCATAGATGCTACAAGTTTCAAAATTCCTTGGTTATTGTGATTAATTTAATAGTTGCATAGTGGATAACGACGGTTCAGAAATCATTAGTACCGCATTGTAGCTAATTTGTTGCTATACAAAAATGCCACTATTCGAGCACATATATTACTTATAGAAATTTGAGTTAGGATCTCAAAAACATGATCCCATCCTGTGCGAGTTTTGGTGGAAGATGCCGCGCCAATCCACAATGAAATTTTCCTGCAGTGGATACATCTCGAATTCTGAATACCCATCTCAGTCGTTCTCTTAGATCTTGATACTTGTTCTTATTCCAGTGCGCTCCTACGGCATCATTGATTTCTAGGGAAAGTGGAAACTGTGATGCTGTAGTTTGACCACAGAGGCTTGATTATATGCCATTTAGTTACAAGTTTACTTTGTACCTGGACTACAAGTTTCGTAGTTAACACTTTGTAAGCAATCCCAGTTTGAGGGAAAACGCTTTGATTTCAATTATCTAGACTACCATGTGACCCTTTTCAGTGTACCTGTGTTATTATACAAACTAGCCTTTGTCATTGAGTTGTTCCCGGACTGCTTCTTTACCCGCGTTACCTCCTCATCTACAGTGTTTGAAATGTGATTACTGCAAGGCGGAGAAGGGATTTACTTTGTTCTTTGGGTTCAATATGTGGAATCTGTTCTTGATTTGCTAAGTCGTATATAATTTCTGTCCCTATGCATTTGTTTGTCTACATGCTCTCTCAGCTTTACTCTTTATATTCCCTGGCTGGCCCAAGAGTTTTATGTTAATTTTTGTGGGACGGACTTGAGTATGTTGCTGGCCATGGGAAGCAAAGGTCGTGTACTGCCACCATCTCATCTACGGCATCCTCTTCCAGGCCCTGCAATGTTGTATCCAGACCCATTTGGACCAGGCATCGTCCTGCCCCTGGTTCCTTTCCTCTTGATATGTTGCCTCATGCAGCAATTATGGAGCAGAAACTTGCTGCCCAAGACATGGAGATGCAAAGAATTTTGAAAGAGAATCAACGGCTTGCAGCTATCCTTTCAGTCTTGAGACGAGAACTAGCTGGAAACCAGCGGGAACTGCAGAGGATGGATGCCCACATGGGTGCAATGAAAGATGAACAGGATAAGCATATGAGGGGTCTACTTGATAAGATTGCTAAGATGGAAGCTGACTTGAAGGCTTCTGAGACAGTAAAGGTGGAGTTGCAACAGGCCCATGCGGAAGCGCATAGCTTAATGGTAGTTAGACAAGATCTTATGGCTAATGCACAGAAACTTAACCAGGATATACAGAAGAGCCATGCTGGTGTCCAAGAAGTCCCTGCTCTGATGTCTGAACTAAACAATATAAATCAAGAATACCATCATTGCAGGTAGCAAATCAGAAGCTCTATGTGCTCCAATTTCTTGAAGAGAACAAGGTAGTTGTATGATGTTCTTCTTTTAATGCAGAGCTATCTATGATTATGAGAAAAAATTGCACAGTGATTATTATGAGCACTTCAGGTTATGGAGAAGAACTATAACTTGATGATGAGAGAAATCGGGAAGCTACGAGCCGAGTTAACTAATGCAGATAACCTTGATAGAAGTGGTACACAATTATTTTCTGCGCCTCTTAGGCAATTCAATTTTCTTTCTTTTATTGACCTTGTTACTAATTGATATTTATTGCAGGTGGATCGTACAGTAATACTGGCGGATACGAGGAGAACGATAAAGCTGGGAAACACTCTGTTGGACAAAATGCTTATGAAGGTGCTTATGGAGTTCCACAGGTGAGTTACAGCACCACCTAGTGCTAGATCAGTTTGTCACCTAGATGCACGTATGACAATTTTCACTATCTTCAGGGTTTTTTTTTTCCACCATTTTCACCCCAGTTGCATGGCTGGTGTAGTTTAGACAATAACGTTGAGTTCCATAATTAAATTTAATATCTCAAAATATTTCTTTATTATTATAGCACTTCAATTCAAAGTATCAATCAGCTACCTTGAGCATCTATGGATAATGCTATCCCTAATCAGTGATTAATTTGTTACAACTACCTTGTGTTACAATGTGTCTGGTTTTTACAATCTCAATGATCTAGTGATAGCTATTTTACCCATGGGGATGAGAAGCTGAAATTGGGTTTCTTCTTGATCCATGTCTAGGATCATTAACTGTTGGTTTCTTGTTTTTTTTTCCAGTTGGATGACCATTATGTCGTATCCAGCAATGTAAATAAGAGCTGATCTAGACTACTTTGAATAAATTTTTTCGTTCAGCTTCACTGTAATATCCAAGTGTGAGGATTTGAAGGCAAACCACGGCCATGATTCTAGTTCTTGCTGCAATGGATGGAAATTTTTATTTTCCCTCAGAGGGAATAGAATGCTAATTGGAATAATTAGATTGGAGACTAAGATATCACATTTATGATCTGACTTCTATTGGGGCGTAAACTGTTCGGTATATCTTCAAAATGTATTTTAAGGGTTCTGTTTCTTTTTTCTTTTTCTTTTTTTTGTGATAGAGGGGTAAACCATAGGGTAGGAGCTGATCAGGTTCAAGATATGATCTGATAAAAGGGAAGTAAGGGAGATTAGAAACAAAAAGGAAATACATGAACTTATATAATATTAATGCTTTTCCTAAAGAGGTTCAGTAAAAGTCAGTTGAATGCAGAAGGAAAAGATGAGGTAGATGGATAAGAGTTGGAGGAAT